TACAGTAACTGAAAAAATTAAGACAATGATGGACATCAATGATTGGTTTCTTGTTTTAATTTAAAAAATGTCTATTACTTATCACAATTTTGCTGTTACTGTATATTAACATTAAGCTTGATTCCCTAAATTCACAATGTCTTTTCTGTTGCCAATTCCAGACATTTTCCATCAATTGCTATCTTCAGTTGATCCAGTTAGGAACAATACTTATCAGAGTTGATTGTTTGATTCTGTGGAAGTAGTACAGTTTTCCTTTATGATCTCATCAGACATTAAGCATGACTTTTCAGATGAAAGCTGATCTTTAAAGTATTTATTGGTGGTTCATTTTACTTGCTCTGCAATTATTTTCAGTTGATGTTACAAGCAATCCACTTTTAATCACCTGTCACTAGATGTTTCAGAAGAGGGTCATCTCCATTTTTGAAGCGAATCACAAATGGAGATATGCTCCAGGAAGTTCTTTTTAACCTAAATCATGCAGTATCTAAATGTTGTAATGATTCATATCCAAGCTTCTTTAAATGTTCAAATATGGTACTGTTTGACTTCACTGTCTTTTATCTCTTGAGTTGTGTAATAGGTGTTGTTATCCAATAATGTTTTGATCTGGTCCTCTATAATAAATACTGATCATACTGAGCATGGAGCATCTTTAAGGTCAAAATTACTATTTTAAATTTAGCAAACCTCTTTTGAACATTTGATCTGCTACATTACCCTCACCATAAACATTATATATTTATTGTGCTGTTTATATGGCAATTTTCCCGTTTTGATTGAAGAAAGGAAACAAGTATCAAAAGTGCAACTTTTCTTCTTCTATTTTTTTAATGAGACAAATTAAAGGAAATTTAAATAATCTTAATAGACTTTTTGTAATGAATGCAACTCAAGGTTTTTTTTCATAATAATCATTGATTCTTACAATGCTAATAATTTTTACTTTGTCTAATGTCTCAACTATCAGCTCTCAAAAAGTATCATGAATTTTTAGCAACCTAATAATATAAAATGAACAGTCACACATTAGAATTCAATATATAACCAATTATTTGAGAAAACAAATGTTTTATATATATAATGTATGGAAGTGAGAATCTGACTCAGGATATTAATTGCAATAGAGAATATTCCAGTAAAGAAGATACCTTAGGTTTGGCTGAAACATTCAGAGATTTTAATGTTAAAAAAAAAATATATATATATATATAATTATTGCAAGGAAGAGATTGGCAAAATTGCTACTTAAACAATTCTTCTTTTAATGTTTTTAACATAATGTTGACCTATGACTATTAAACTATTTTGTCACAAAAACTTTTACCATATAAGCGTTAAATTACACACGTATGTCACTAAATTGACGCTTTCGACAATAGTTTTCTAATAGATGGTAAAAGTTTTTGTAACAAATGATTAGCGTGCTGTCTATCACTATATTATAGAAACTATTTTGTCACAATATATATAGAAATATATTAGTAATATACCATAATTTTGTCTAAACTGCATGTTTATGAGGCTTTTGAGTATCATTGCATTTTAGGAAACATAATTTACATAAATTATTATGTATAATTAATTGTTTTAAAATTATTTAATTTAAAACAATTTATATTGTTTATGCAAATGCAATAATTATTTAATTAATTATATTGATATGCAGCATAGTAGTATACATTAAGTATGTATAGTTTAATTTTGTAAAATCAGAAAAGATTAAAATATATTATGGCAATAAAGTAGGAAAATCTGAAAATTAGTTTAAAAAAGAAAAATATTACATTGATATGAAATATTTTAAAATAAAGTGATGATGATGGTAGTTGTATGATTTGAATTGTAAAGGAATAAGATGGACAAGGTGTACTGTACACCCCAAAAATTAATGCAAACTGAAGTAAAAATCTGGTTTGGTGTTAACATATGATGTGTGCTTTAATTTTAACACCAAAACTGATCTTTTGCTTGCAAACTGAAGTAAAAAAATAAGGTTAGGCCTATATTTGGTCACTTCAAAAATTTTCAAATAGAATGATTAATAAACAATAGTGTTGTTTAAAATTTTGCCTAAAAATTTAATTGGTAAAAGTTTACTGATATTTTTTTAGACAAAAATTTTGAAATAATGGTTACAAACTTGTGTGAATTTTTATTAATACTTATGTATTATCAAAATTCTACAATATAAAGTTCAGTGTTTAGAAAGAATAATTTTCTGTAATTATTTTTCTCAAAACTCCATGTTTTGTTTAGAGTATCTTTTACAACATGGAATTCATATAAAACGGAATAATCAACAGTGTTATAGGGGGATCGACTGTATCTTCTATAAATGAATTTAGATCTTACATGAGTTATGACTAATCATCTTTCTATGAGGAATGTTCAGTGCAAAGGTAGGAAAATATTGAAGAAATGGAGGCAAAAGAAATTGATTGCCAATTATGAGAAAAGAAGACATTCGTTAGAGAGTGTCTTCTTTTCTTATAATACCAGACTTGTTGAACTCAAGATATGTAGACATTAGAATTTATTTGGAATTTCTGTATTGAGTATAATAAATTTTGTTGAAATTGAATGTTTAGTGAATGAACCAAAAGAAGAATCGGACATTAAAAGGACAATGTACATAAAATTCTAAATATTTAGAATGTATTATAGTTTTTAATATTATGAGAACAGAATAAAAATTATAAATTTGGAGAACAATATAATATATCATATAAAACTTATTGTTATAAATTACCATTTATAATATGCAAGTTTAACAAACAAAAACATGATATTTTATTATATGGTAAAATTTTGTTAACCTGGCATCTGGTATGTTGGCAAACTTGATAAGCTGGCATGTTGAACTTGTCAATGGGGTTATTGGTGTACTGGGTATATCTGAAGTTAAGATTTTTTATGTAAAAGAACTCAAAATGTGCAGTTCTTGGAAAGGGGTGTGGGTTCTGCTTTTAGAGATGACAAATGCTAAAATGACATGATGCTGTGCTAGGTAAAACCAGTTAGCTCATGCATGATTTTTCTAAAGACTTTTAATGCATAGGTTTGATATGAGAAGCAGAAATATTTACTTGGACTCAATAATTATCATGGAAACAGCTACAGACATACTCTAATTATCAAAGTACATCTATAGGCAATAAAAGTGTACAAAGCACAAAGTAAGAAGAGAATGTTCTTGTTAGAATAGCCTGAAATGAAATAGTGTATTAAACAATCATAAAGGCAGATTTATACAGTTTTATATGCAAAGTTATGTAAATTTGTGTCCAGGGGATCGAAAAAAATCAGAAAAACTTCCACTGTCTAATAAGTCGGCATATTCAATAACCTGAAACCACATCAGTCCTGACAATTCCAGGTTAATGGAATATCACTATATTAATTTTAATTTAATTTTCAAGTGAATAAATTGAAATTGAAATTCTGACTTCTTAAAAGTAAATTTTGATGATATAAGATTTATTTATTTATAAATCATTATAAAAAAGAACATTTTGAAATAAAAATTTTATAGAAATATGAAAGTAATTTAAACAATAGCAAGGAAACATCTATTCCTTCTATAAGGAGAATCTGATTTGGCACTTCTTGCAATGGATTATTGTTTTGCTTTCAAATGTTCTCTTATTCAGCATTCTAATAGAAAGGAAATTAATAAAAAGAATAGAATTGTAAAAATAGAGGAAAACAGTTAAAATTAATATTTATGTAATAATGAACAACAAATCTTTACGATTTTTAAAACATAAGATTCTTAGGAAATCTATTAGAAATAATAAAACTTATATTAAATGATGTTTTTATCATATAGAGAAATAGTAAAATTGAATATAATGTTTCCTAATATTGTATTCAGTTATGGTATTTTTTATTCTAACAATAGTTGCAATGATATCTTATTTAATATCAATATAATCTGACAGAGCATAATAGTAATTCTACAAGATCAGATGATGATAAATTAGTTAATAAAACAATTTATTGAAAAAGATCTCAGTTTTAGAAAAAGTCATTTTCTCCTACATTTATTTTGAAACAATAATTAAGAAGTTTTAGGCAAAGCACAGAATTGTAGAAGTTAATCATCTACTTTGTTCTGATAACTTGCTTCAAAGGTTATATCTTATTTCAAAAATCAAATCATTGCCAAAGAGTTGAATTTAAAGATACAGAAGATATTTAATATAATGAAAGTAAAGAATTTATAGAGAGAAATTTAAACAAGATTAAAAATCTAAAAGCTCAAAAAATGTAGTGTAATTTCTCAAGAAAATTAAACAATATTAAACACCTTTTTTTTATTTTAATATGCAGTTTCCTTTAAATTCATATAGTTTTGGAACTTTTAATTGCCAAATCTTGTATATACTAATCTAAAATCAATAATACATTTGTGAAGTCTCCAACTTGGAATATTCAGATAGTGAGTAATTAACAATGCACTCTCATGTGTTGGATGAAAGTTCCAGATTTAAATCTCATTCTGAACTGTTGCTTTCTTAGATACATAAAATTAAGATTTTTCTGAAGTCATTAAAGTTTTTAGTAGATAGTGACATAAAAATATCATTAATTAAATAAGTAATACTTGACTAGAAATTAACATTTGATTAAGTTTTAATAAATATAAATTTTCAAAAAATGAAGAATTTTTGATATTTTACACATTTAATATTGTTTATTTAGTAAATCTATTTTATAAGTAGTCTTTTTATGAATTGAAGTTATTATTTGTAAATACAATTTATTATTTTTAATTATATTTTTTTAATTAATAATTTAACTTTTAAAGAACAAAATTGTCACTTCATTTTTTTCATTTTTGATTTTGAAATGAATCAAGAGATGAAATAGTTTGTTTTATTCTTTATTTATGTATAATTTAAAATGACTTAACATTTTTTTAATTAAGATTTTTCTTATATAAGTAAATTATTAATTTTAACATTTATGTATATAATTTTTTTTTAAAATAGAAAAACATGGACCTTTGGAAGGATAAAAAACATTATATATTATTGATTGCAACAGTATGTGCTTGTTACTTTAATGCTCTAGAATGTGATTTTGTTTTTGATGACATGTCAGCTATAAGAGATAACAAAGATCTTAGACCAACTACACCATTATGCAACATATTTTTAAATGATTTTTGGGGAACTCCTATACAAAAAGTAAGTAAAATTGCTTAGAATATTAATTTAGTTTGTTATGTAATTATACATTTTAAAATTAAATAATATTCAATATATAATTCAGCTATTTTGAGTAAATTTGATTGTAAACAGATTTATATGAACAACTTTTAATTATATAATTTATAACCTCCTTTGATTTGTTACATTAGCACAATATATTAAAACCAAAAGTTATCATAGAATGTTTTTAATCTGAATGAATTTTTGTCAGATGAGCTATTATAGAATTTTCCTTCATAAACTGTCATTCTAAGATACTATTTTTGTAACTCAGAAACATTATACCTTCATAGGTCATTATACTTCATCTGTCCAGAAGCTTTATTGCTGATTATTTATGTATTATTTGTATCATTGAGATCTAATTTTTGTTCTTACAATTCTTTTAATATTATGATAAATGGACTACATTTTTTGTTATGTCAAGAATCATTTACATTTTTATATATAATACCATTCTTAATCTTTTTAAGGCACTCCTATTTCTCCACATTCTGTATACATTTCTAATTTAAGTTATGTAAAATATTAAAATTTATTTTACTCATTGTGTTATCTTTCTTTCACCTAAGTTTTTGAAGTTTTAATAACAAGATTATAATTTTTTCTTACAGTTGTTTTATATCATTGAATTTATTTTGATTTTGAAAGTGATATGCATTACCATGGCAATTAAACTATTTGCTAATGGATATCATCTGTCCTATGCTGATTGTTTGATAACAGAACATTGTAAATATCTGACTTGGCAAGTAGACAGAGAGAATGATGATTACTTTCTCTCTCTTCCTCTATAGTTTTTTGTTATTTCTAAGTCTTGATATTGTAGTATATCTACTAATTAGAATATGAATCCAACAGACTGTTCATTGAATGATTTTATTAATTTCATTTAAATGTTCAAGTTCTTTTTTTTGAGATGTTGGATTTTCAATGTCATTTAGTAAATTTTGTTTAATAATGAAGTACTGTATTTTGTAAATTTGAAATTATTCCAATTTAAAGAACAAATCTAATATAAATGGGTATGATATATTTTTTAATAATTTGAAATGTTCATAATAAATGTTAATTGTTTGAGTTTTTTTTTTTTTTGCATATATTTATGAACATTAATTATTGTTTCTTATTTCTTTTCTACTATGACTATAAATGGAATGGATGACATCTCTAATGGATTACGAGAACTTTTGAAAAATAATTTTTTTAAACAAAAAGTTTTTATATATGATTTGTTTACAACATTCACCACAGCAAAAAACACTGGTTGTTTAGAATAAAACTTCTTTTTACTTGTTTTTGTGGTATTTTGTATATAGTTTTATTGATTTGTTTACTTCACAAAAATACTTAAATATTTCAATTATATCAATATTTTTAAAAAATAGTTATTATTATTAATTTTCATATATTAAATTTTTTTAGGATTTCTAAAGCAGCTTACAAAAATAAACTTGCAATTTATTCACTATAATTTAAATAAATTTAGCACTCATTATTATGACAATTGTTTAATATATTTAATATTATTTAATCAATTTTTAACTTCACTATATTATATTATACTATAATATAGTATAATATTATATTATACTATAATATAGTATAACTAGCTTACTCGTCGCGCATTGCTGCGATCTCAAAAGAAAGGAAATTCAAGCAAACTCGTTATGATAAAATTCAATTTACATTTTATTATTTTTATTGAAACTTATTATTATTATTCATTTTCATCGGTAAAACATTTCAAAGTGTCGTTTCAATTCTATTTATTTATTGGAGTGCTTGTGGATACACGATATTTTTTGTTTTTCCGTCTGGTGCGTACACGAATAAATCAGGTTTTCCGACGCGTTAGCTGGTCACATACAGTTGTCCACGCGAGAAACACGCATTCTCCAAATTTAACCCACACACTCGCAGCGATTGTCAGAAGCGCGATATTCC